ACGCCCGCACCCACACACATAAATGCTGAGGGTTGGGAGTACAGAGAGGGGGCGGGGGCCAACCTACTTACCTACCTAACATATATGGATCGCAGCTTTATTTACATATGTCCGCCGCGGCTGTCGTTGACTTTCGGGAAATAAAACAAACTTCTCTATATCGCCTCTCTGCACCTTGCTCACAATGCAAATACAAAAACAAATATTTTAGCGACAAAAAACAAAAACAAAAAAAAAAAAGAGCAGGGAAGAAAAAACACAACGACCTGAAAATGAAAAGTAAAACTTACAGGCCACAGCCACATACGTCTTATCAAAATAAGAAGAAGTCGCAGTGAGCGGGGAAAAACAATGGGAACATTTCATTGGCGCTGGGCAAATAGAGCGGGTCTCCTTTGCCTTCGGTCCACCTTAGACTTACATTTCGATTACAAACGGATGTGCAAACATCGCTCGACTTCAAAAGGCCAATTGGATTTCAGCCAACCGGAAGTACAGTTGCACTCACGAAAGTAATATGGGGGGATTAATATTAATATAAGTTTCAATTTATTTTATCGAATGTCAGTTTTTAAAGTATAAATATTTGTAGTGTCTTAACTGATTTGCTTTCTTTAGATAGAATTCAAGGAAAAAGCTTAGCATAGCATTTTATTTAAGGGAGATAATTAAGTTTAGATATTAATTGCTTTATATTTTGATACCCCTTCGGTGGAATGCTCTTCTTGTTTTATTTGTGCTTTTTGTTAAACTCGTGCCTTGTGCCCATTTCCTTTGGCTTATCAGTCGCCATGTGTGTCCAGCTTTAACACACAGACCGACGCACACGTGGACTATATGTTAATGCCCGATTCCAGGCCGCGACCATATTTGCATATGGCTCATTCACTCAACCTGGCGGCGGGTCTACGGGTCTCCGGTCTCCGGTCTCCAGTATTCCAGTATTCAGTGTTCAGTGTTCGGGGTTCCATTTGTTTGCTCATTTGTTTGTCCAGATATCCAGTCGCTTACCTTGCCGCCATATGCGGGTGTTATCAGCAGTCAACGCTAGCTTTTGGCTAACCGCTTCTTCTCCTTCCTCACTTTCCTCTTTCCCCGCTTTTTCCCAAACCACCACCCGCACTCCCCCCAAAAAAAAATATAAAAAAAAAGCGGAGCAGGGAAAACGAGGTCTATTGGGGGACAGTAGGCAAATAAAACCAAATTTTGTATGCTAAAACACTTTGCGAAGGCGACCCAGGTGATAAGGCTTCGGGGCTTCGATATTATTGCGCCCCCGCACAACAGAAATCATTGTGATTCCAGGCGGTACTATATACTATATACACTACAAAATATATATATATACATACACCGCTCTGTTTGTTATAGTTTCAGCTGCTAAACACCTTTTTTATGTATCCGTATCGCTGTGTTATCCACACGTAATTTGTTTAAACAAATTAAGTCGGGGGCCGCTCGACTCCAGTTGATTTTGAGTTTTTCAGCTGCTGACGTCGCTTTGTCACTGTCAACTAAAAAACAAAAAACCGAAGAAAAAAAGACAGCCTGTTGGACACAGCAAGTATATATGTGGATATATACTATTACTACGCCCCCGCCGAATGTTATCGCCTGCCACAAAAAGAATTTCGAATTTGCTTAACCCTTTTTTGTTGTTGCTTCTCTTAAACTTTTAAATGAGTTGGCCAAAAAACAATACTACAAGTCCAAAAACAAAACAGAGCAGAAAAAAACGCTCTTTAAATATTTACTCAGCATTTTTCGGGGCGTTCGTTGTTATTAACTCTGCGTTGTTTTTTTTTATTTTTTTATTTAACCACCCGTCAACGAAGTGGAGCACTTGGAGTCATTTAATTGGACGGCTGTCTTTAGTTTTCAATATTTTGTGGCCATATTGAAGGGAAAGTGATTGGGTGGTAGTATTAAGTTGAATTAACCCAATAAATATTTATTGCAAATCATATTTTGTTTCTTACTTTAGTTTTTCCTCAAAATAAAATCCAGTTCAAAGGCAAACTTAAAGGGAATTAAGTTTTCCTATTTGCCCTCGTTTCCCCTCCAAAAGTTGGTCCAGTTTTTCGGCTGACGCCATTTTTCATCGGGGTCCTGCGTCCTGCGAAGGCGAGCACCTAAAAACAGCCGACGAGGACGACCATGTGGCGCTCTCTGCCTGGTTTTTATGGCATCCCCACAGATAGAGCAGCCACCCATAACCTTTGGGCCATAAAACCGAATCCCTCGAATCCTTCGACTCCATGCGCACACGTATGTGTGTGTGTGTGTATGTGTGTGTGCTCCTGCCGGGATGGGGGCATAAATTAGCACAATCAACGTATTGTTTTCGGCCTGCCACGCCCCCCGTCCGCCCCCAACCCTCGGTAGTCAATAACACGAGAACGTTATAAATAACAAAAATACAAGGAGCCGAACGAATTTCATATTTTGTTGTCCTGATAATTCGCGCGCGCAAAACTTCTATTAATATGTTAATTCTTAATTGTCCCACTTGGGCCGGCTAACCCCCCTCCCCCCGATTGTACGAATGGGGATGGATATATATTAATGGCCGCAGGCTTGCATTAAATGGCCAGGAGTGCTTTGGGCCACAGTAGCAGCTCGTAAATATTTGGCTTAAGCTGCGCGGCTAACAAATCGACGCACTTCAATTTATTTCCTTCGCCGGGGGAAGAGGCGGCTGAATTAATTACGCATATATGGTATGCAAGAGGGTAAAGATGCCAATGACATCACGCCAGCTAATAAATTCTGATTCCTTTGGGCAGGAATTACGGAAATGTAGCACTTTATCGAGAGAGATCAGAAATGCATGGCAAATTATGCGTTAATTGGACGCCGTTTGTCCTTTGCAAAGTAGTACAAATTAAAGACTTCCTTTGGCAAAAAGAGATTGAATTGATTCTGATTCTGATTCTGATTTGGTCAATGAATAGCCAACGCAGCAATCCCGAAATTTATGGCCGAGGTATATTGACTGTTTGATCTGCTCAAATCGCATTCGATTTGGTCTTTGGGGGAAAGGGTTAATGCAATTTATGACTTCTCGGTCTCGGTAAGCTGGCACTTTTATGAAATCTATTTGGCAAGCACTCTGTTGACACTTGTCAGGCGGACTGACACTTTTGACAGCTTCACACCCTTTCACCTTTCTTCCTTGCTTTCCTTTTTTTTTGTCACTATTTGCTACTATTACTCCCTCCCGAAAATATTAACCCTCTTCAGCTGGCGCAATATTGTGCATGCTGTCAATAAGTTTTCCTTTTCACCAAACAATCGTAACTTGCAGTCTGTGTCTTTGCGCGCTAATCTGTGAGCAAACATCTAATATAATCGCTTAGGCAAATATCATCGGGCAACGCCCTCGGCCATTTCCCTCTGCTCGACCACGCCCCTTTAAACCAAACAAAGAGAAGAAGGCAACAGCAGGTTAACAGCAGGAACAGCTCACCTTTAAGCCGAATATCTACCTGCTTTCGAGCCTGGCCAATTGCAGGCCGGCCAATCAATAAGCAGACTAATAATCAGCTGGAAAATGACCGAAAAAGGTCAACTCAGGGGTGCAGGGAAAAACATATTCTTTTTCCTTTAGTTTTTCCTTTTTTTTGGGTGGAAAAGTAGCGTATAAAAAATAAAAGCGAAAATTGAGCGTAGCCCGCCCGGGCAATCAGCAGAAATTACAGGCGACATCACATATGTGTGTGTCAGCGTCACCCCCTCGCAGGACAATCAATTGATAAAGAAGCAAGCGGCAACGTAGCTTCTGGCAGGACAATTGGAAGGGCGGACCGAATATCCCCGCTTAGGGCGCATTAGTTATTGTTTGGACCCGGGCTAACCGCAAATTGCTCGAACTGCCCCCGGATCGGACATAAAAAATGGAATATAGAAGGCAAGTGGCAAAGCGACAGGGAGTCAATAATTCATAGATCTATTTCCTAATTGACAACTGTGTGCCAAATGGGGCGGGGATGTCCTGTAATTGAGGATGATGTCCTCGATTAAAGTCAGTCAATTGATGAGTAAAAAAACAAGGAAATACATGGTGGATAAATAGTACAAGTGATAAGGAGACTGGTGAATATAAATCTTTAATATTTGGTATTGTAAGAGTATTACGGATTGTGATTATAGTTAAAGGAGGAATGCAAAATAAATAAATACAAAGAAAGTTTCGCTTGACCGAAAAAAAAAACTTGTGCATTTTCGATTTCAACTTTTTCCCCCGAGTGTCCCGAGGCGAAGGACTCCCTGTTCCCTGTTTTTTGCCTCCATCCCAAGCCATTCTGGTCAATCAAGTCCTGTCGATGGAATCGAAAACAAAAGTTTAACTGCCTTCGGGGCGCTTAAGTTCGCCTGCCTGCCTGCTCCAGTTGCCATCGCCCTGTGAATACTCCTATATATGTATAAATATATCTCACTGGTGTTGCTAATTTCTGGGCCAGATAAGCCATGACAACCGCAGATTCTATATGTGCATAGATGTATATTTGCGGCAAAAGGCGGAGAGCAGCAGCCGAATTAATTGCGGAGCTACTGGAATTTATGGTCATGCACACAATCAATCCACCACCGCCGAAACCTCGTTTTGGTCCTCGTTTTGGTTCTCGTTTCGTCCTCTCACACCAACAGACCAACACACCCACACCCACACACACCCATATATGCAAATATAATGGGTGGGCGCTAAAGGGGGCGGTTGTTGGGTTTTTTTTTATTGTTGTAGCCCGGCATTTGGCAAATAAATTAAAGTGCACGGAGATTGGCATTCGCGGCGTGGTGAGCATATTTGCTTATCTGGCCATATGTAAATACGGGGATTTTCACTTACACTGGGAACAATTAATGAAGCCACCGAAATACCAAGCACACACCATAAACAACACACCCACACACACATTAAATAACTGCTGTGGAACTGAACTGAGAACTTATTTATGAACTGAAAAGACTAAAGGCCTCCCATTGATTTACTTTTGCAGATTCCGACTCCACAGAGAACGATGCCGTGGCCACGCAGGACATCCTCACGTGCGGCGCCTGCCAGAAGGCGTTCGCCCTCTCGGACATCGTCAAGTTTATCCAGCACAAGGTGCAGCAGTGCAACAAGGAGAACTACGGCCAGTGCGCCACCCAGAATCCGCAGATGGACCGCGACGCCGAGGAGGGTCGTCCGCTCAGCCTCGTCAACCGCCGCCCCTCGATCTCCGCCCCCATTTCCGGTCGCAAGTCCGCTCCTGCTTCGGCGGCAGCGGCGGTCGCGGCAGCAGCAGCAGCAGCAGCGGCGGCAGCAGCGGCGGCGGCGGCCAGCAGCACGGCCAGCGGATCGCGGATACACACACCACCACCGAGTCCGGCGGACCTCCTGGCCGATGGAGCCAGCAGCACGCCGAAGCGTTTAGTAGATGGTGAGTGCTGAAAAATAATTTAAAATATTAAATTAGATACTGATAGATCTTGGATAATAAATGCAAAAGTAAATGATATCCTTGAAACTTCTTGAATGTTATTTAAATATGCATAAACAGCTCTCCAAATTTGATTGTCTCTAAATCAATAAATACAAATATTTAGGACAGAGACTTTAAATTGTATATCGAATTAATATGATTAATGAAATTATTATCAATTAAAAAGTTTTAAATTTAGAAGAAGTAATTCTAATTAATACTAAATACTAATAATAGTACTAATATCCTGAATCCCTCTACTTTTCCCCCTCCCTTCAGAAAACGACAATACCACGCCGAAGGACAGCGAGACGGGTGCCACCACCCTCGACTCGAACGACGGCCCCGCCAGTCCGGCGGCCATCGAGCGCCAGTCGTCCGGCGACAGCAGCTGCGAGCTGGAGGAGCAGGATCGGCGGGATCAGCAGCAGGCCAAGGTCAAGCAGGAGCCCTTCGAGGAGGAGGTGGCCAGCCACCACCAGCAGGATAACGAGCACATGAACGAGAACGATAACGATGATGAGGAGGAGGAGGAGCGGTCGCTGGCCAAGCGGCCAAAGATGGAGCTGGTCGATGCCGAGGCCAACACAGTCCACACAGGTGAGTCCTTTCTCTCCATCACCCCCCTCCCATTGTCCTGGCGAAATAGCACGTCGCATATTTGGGTGGCAAAATTAAAATTCCCTCCAAAGCAGCGTTGAATAAAAAATGTGTTTGATGTGATGATCGGGCCGCGGGCCTCGGCGATAAGCTGCAGCTGCATTAAATCCAAAAAACAAAAAAAAAAAAAAAAATCAAAAACCCAAGGGGGTTTGCGTTTCGGTTTCGTTTTGGGTTTGGGTTTGCGTTTGCGTTTCGGGCTAAGAAAAAAGTACACATAAAAATAATAATGCGGGGGAAAAAAGCGCGGACACTGCGGGCTTGTTCTTGTTGTTGTTGTTGGAGGAGGATGACGGACTGTCGGACTGACGGACTGGCGAACTGCGAATTGCTGTGGACTGCGGACCACGGACGTTGGACTTCAAAGCGCAGCTCTCAATGCTGATAAACTGCAGTGCCAGAGTGGCAGTGGCAGTGGCAGTTCCAGCAGGACGAAAAGGACACTCGGACAGCGCGACAATCGAAGCCCCGGCTCTCTGGCCTTTGACTTTGACATTTCAATGCAAATGATGATGAAAAGCCAAAGACAGCAGCACAAAAACAAAGCAGCAGAAAAGAGAGGAGTAGGAAAAGGGGAAGGGGGTTTGGCAGGACTATGGCAACCAACGGTTAAGGGTAACCGGACAGGCAGGCAGGCAGGACAATGAGGCTGCGAAGCTGCGAAACAGCTCTGGAAGCTCTGGAGCTGCCCTCGAGGGTAATTTGAATGCCTCAAAAACAGCTAAGGAATGCCAAAGGGGGTGAAAGGCCACTTGACTGGACAAAGGACATCGCACTGGACTTGACACACGCACAAAGGCCGGACCAACAACAAACGCTATTTGGAATTTGGAATGGGCAAAAGCCCTGTAAAATAACCCAAAGAATTCCCCTAACTTGAACTCGAATTTAGATGAGAGGTGCTCGTTGTTGTTTTTTTTTTTTGGAGAGGTCAACGCATAGGTAGAAAAACACAAAACCATCGCGAAGGTCGCGTGTCAGGCGAAAAGCGATTGACTCGCAACATCAAATTGGCCTTAAAAAATCGGGATTGATGTCGGGATGCAGCATTTATAGATACAGATACGGAGATACGGATACGTGTACAATACAAAGGGGAGATACAAGCTACACATACGCCATTTAACCCTTGAACTTTTGCGCTTTTGACACGAACGGCGAACAACAAAAGTCACTGACAATACGGCAAAAAAGTTGTTTGACTCTGACAATGCCAACTGACAAGTCGCAGATACACAGGATACGGATGGAGGAGATACAGATACGGCCACAGATACAGATACGGATACAGATACATTCGCAGATACAGATACAGATACATCGCTGAGAGCTGCGTTAATTACGCATTGTTCTGCTTTTTTCCCCGCTCTTGTTTTTTGTTTGTTTTTTTCTGGAATGTACTTTACTTCGGCGGCTGTCCAACCTAACTCCTTCCTTTTGGGGCCATTGTTGGCCATTTGGTAATTATAAATACGCCATGGCAACCAGCCAGCCAGGCAGCCAAAAGCCAGTCAGCCAACCAGCCAGCCAGAGTAGCGAGCTGAATAAAAGAAAGCCCGAAACAACTGTCAACAAAATGGATATCTGTTGCAAAAATGTAAATGCAACATGTCCTTGCCACAGGACTTTTCACCTGTCAGCGCAGCCGTGTTAATTATCAATTTCGAGGCTCAGCGTGTCGCGACCGCAGCGACAGTGAAACCCCATCAGCCATCAGCCGGGCGAAGGGTTATGTGCTATGGGTTATGGGTTAAGGGTTAAGGTTTATGGGTTAAGGGTTAAGGGTCACGGATCAGGTGGGCGGCGGGGGGGTTACGGCTCAGACCGCAATTATTGACTCATGCTGGCAGTAAGCCAACAAAAAAAGCACGAGAAGTAAAAAAGAAACTCCTTTCCACTCGAAACGGAATGGTCGAATGGTCGAAATCAATGGCTAATGCCCTCGGCTCATGCAACTCCACGTCCTGCGGAGGATTAGATGATGCCTCCCGGTGTCCTTTGTGTAGAAAGAGCCGGAAAAGGATACAGACAGAACAGAGCAGAGCACCAAGCAGGGAATCCGAGTCGGAATGGGATGCTGACAGTTGGCGAAGCTGCAACAATTATCCCATTACGCGCACAACCCTTCACTTTCGCCACCCGCTGGCATCGCTCATACGCACCGTGCGCCGACTGCACTTCCTGGCGGTCAATTTGCCACTTCCGGTGGCAGTACATCCGCTCTTTGTCTTTGCGAAGTGCAGAGGGAGAAACTCAGAGATGCCTTTGTATCAGATTTATGAATTTCAAAACCTTTAAGGGAAACTCTTGAAGCTTAATAGTAATAATATAAACAATTAAAGTAAACAGTTTTAGGAGAACTGTATTTCGGGTAAAACAAATAATATTGAAATAGATTTTTTGCTTTTGAAACTGCAGCTGATGAAATCGAAAACTTCGTACATGACATGAATATATTTTTGTTATGAATATTCCTCACGCTAATAGGGATTTTCCTTTTTAACCCATTTTTTTTTTGCTAGTGAATAATATTTAAATTTATTTTCCGTGCCGGATCTTCCCGCATTCAGTGGCAGCTGGCTGAAATCAGAACGTGCCAAGCCCGCGCCTTTTGTGTTTTATCCGTTCGTCTCCTCGTTTTTTTCTATCTAAATAATTGTTTTGAAGCGCGTGCGCATCGCGAGCTGCGATCAAGGATCAGACAAATAATGCCCGATGTTTTTCGACAACTTTTACCTCTTTTTTTGTGTCGCTCGCTCGCACAACCCTTTCCGCCAGGCTTCAAGGATTCGAAGGGGTTGCTCCTTGTGTTTTCCGCGGGGGGATGAGGCACCGAGGCATTGAAAACGTATTATCTGTCAGATTCATTTGCATTTCCTGTGGCATGCGGGCCAGCGATCCCTGATCTCGGGATCGGGATCGGGATCCGAGAACCCCGCTGCCAAAGGGTCGCGATGAAATCGTGTTCAACACGAATCACCTATGACAGCGCCGCCAGGAAGCTGTTTCGGTTTCCAGTTTGCTGCAGATTGCCATAAAAAATACAAAAAAAAAAAACGAAAACTAAAAAACGGAAAGGAAAGGAAAGGAAAAGTGTGGGGAATGCGTGTCCTGTCTCGTGCCTCTCCACTGCCACTGCTACTTCCATTTCCATTCACTTTTATGGATAATTTTCGGAAATTTTCATTTCGTGCGTTTTTAAAGGCGTCATTTAAATGCAGAGGACGTCCTCATCGCATCGCATCGCAGGGGTAGTTCTCCCTTCGGTTCAGAAGTAGTAGTTTCTCGGGGCATTAACACCTTGTTGTCCTCGGTGGCGACATGTGGCTGGCCTTCGCCTTCGCCTTCGTTTTGGCTTTCCATTTTTATTTATTAGAAAATGTCCTTTTTTAGTAGCGACGCAAAAAAAAATAGAATAAATTGGTTAAGCGGGAGAAGTGTGTCTTCTTTGCACATTTTTCATAAATTTTCCAATTTTACATCTGTTGCGCGGGGCGGCGGCACATGTGTCGCAGGTCATTCGGCGCAGGACATTCGGTGGGTGGTTTTAGGACCGCCACTTCCGCCACGGCAAATTAACAAATGTCGCGACAGAACCGCAACAAACTAAAGCGGACACACATGTGTGTTGGTGTTTGAGTTTGTATTTGGGTTTGGGTTTGGGTGTTTTGGCCATGCATCGGGGCAATATCCTTCGCTTTATTGGCAATCTCCGCTACACGGAGCTTCATGCGTGTCCCGGCGCATTTTGGCATGCCAACCGCGCTGCAAAATCAATAAATAAATAAATGCTGCCTAGGCGAGAGGATCCGCGCCGGCGAACCCCTCCGCAAAATGCTCATTAATAATTAATAACGAAATTGCCAGGCAACCTGAATTCACGCGGCCGGAATTCTATCTAAGCGGGTAATGCAATTTAAGGCTTAAACTGCAACAGCATACCTGTAATACCTGTGCAGTAAATCTGCTTAAAGGGAGAGCACTTAATGGGTTAATAGTTAACCTTATTATATGAGGGATTTTATTTAAGGGATTTATAAGATTTTCTTATTTTTCACACTTTGCTTACTATGATTTCTTGTCTCTTTTTTTTGCAGAACCCAGCAACTACACATGCTCCACGTGCAAGACGCGCTACACCTCCGCCTGGCGACTCATCCAGCACGTGCAGCACTCGCACGGCGTGAAGATCTACGTGGAGAGTCCTGGTGGCGGAGGCGCCACTCTGACGGTGGCCACGCCCGCCGCCCTGAACAGCAGCGCCCTCGCCTTGGCCGCCGCTGCAGCCGCCGCCTCCGCCTCCGCTTCCATTTCCGGATCCGGTTCCGCCTCCGGCTCCCTCTCCGGCATGGCCAGTCCCCAGCCGGCGGTCAGTCCGAACGCCTCCTCCGCGGCGGCGACGTCGTCGGCGGGAAAGCGCAGCAGTCCGGCGGCAGCGGGATCCGGCATTCTGTCCACCTCGGTCGGGTCCGCCTGCTCCAATTCGCTGGTGAACACCAGCGGCGGCAGCCTGAGCAACTCCAGCAGCATTGGCTCGCCGCAGCAGCAACAACAGTTGCAACTGCAACAGCAGCAGCAGCAACGCGTGCAGCAGCAGCAGAGGGAGAACCTGGCGTCGGCGATGGCCGCCGGAATGCGCCACCATCCGCTGCTGCCGCCGCCGGAGGCGATGCACGCCAATCCCTTCCAGCTGCTCCGCATGCCACTGCCGCCCGCCTTGGCGCAGGCCGGCAACGTAGTTCCTACGGTGGCGCCTCTCTTTGGACGCCCCTCGCCCGCCGACCACTACCGCATGGAGCAGCTGGTGAGCGAGCAGTTCCGCCACCACGGGTTCAACCTCGCCGCCGCCGCCGCCGCCGCCCAGGCGCAGTTCAATGCCAACGGCCAGGTGGTCGGAGTGCCCGGCGGTTCCGGCGAGCCGCGTCCCCCCTCCTCCAGCAGCAGCGGCAGCCAGCGGGGATCGGTGCCCCCGGCCGCCCTGCCGCCGCCATCGCTCAGCTCCCAGCAGCAGCAGTCCGTGCAGCAGTCGGTGCAGCAATCCGTGCAGCAGCAGCAGCAGCAGTCCGTGCAACAGCAGCAGCAATCCGTGCAGCAGACGGCGCAGCAGCAGCAACTGCAGGGTGCGCAGCAGCAGCAGCAGCAGCAGATCACCACCGGCTTGGTGGGCGGCAGCTCCCTGAAACTCGAGCCGCAGCAGATGGATTTTTACTCGCAGCGATTGCGTCAGCTTGCGGGCACAACAAGCCCTGGAGCTGGCAGCACTGTTAACTCGAGCTCGCCGAGTCCCCGACAGAAGCAATCGCCGCACTTCGCGAGCCCCTCGCCCTCGCAGCAGCAGCAGCAGCAGCAGCAACTCCAGCAGCAGCAGCAGCAACAGCAGCAGCAGCAGCAGTTGGCCAACATCCCGCGACCGCACTCCCTGACTCCGCCCGAGAAGATGGGCGACGGCAGCTCGGAGAACGGCAGCTTGAGTCTGATCCTGGCCAGCACTCCGCGCTCGGCGAGCACGCCGCCCTCGAAGACGGGCGATGGGGTGGGGGTGGGCCTGCAGGACCCCGTTGCCAGCTGCTTCGCGTGCAGCTACTGCGACAAGAAGTTCCGGTTCGAGAACAACCTGATCATCCACCAGCGGACGCACACCGGCGAGAAGCCGTACAAGTGCACCGCCTGCGACTTCGAGTGCTCGCACATCCAGAAGCTGATGAAGCACATGCGGGTGCACCGCAGTCCGGCGGACAACCAGGACGACAACCAGGACAACCAGGACGACGGCAGCAATGCCGATTCGCTCGAGACGAACGAGGCGGACAACGACGAGGACCCCAATCCCGATGAGTCCGAGGAGGAGCTCGGCGACGGGGACAACGACAACGATCCCGATGGCGACGGCGACGGCGATCTGGATGGCGAGGACGAGGACGAGGACGAACTGGAGGAGTGCGAGGAGCTCGACTACAAGGCGGAGGACCTCAGCGTGAGCAACCGCATCGATGGCAAGAGCCAGAGTCCCAAGACGACCAGCTCCGGGGCCACCTCGCTGGTGGGCGAGCTGATGGACAAGTTCGGCCTCTCGAACATCGCCCAGTACAGCGAGGCCTACAAGCAGGCGCTGCAGGAGTCCGGCCGCAAGGAGGCGGCCGCCGCAGCAGCAGCCGCCGCCGCAGCAGCAGCGGCGGACAACAACAATCGCGGCGGCGCCGGCGGAGCTCCGCTGAGCGACAAGCTGAACGGACTGCCGGTGGCGGCGTTGCGGCTGCGCGATGAGTTCGCGAAGAACTGCAACATGTTCCAGCAGCCGCAGGACGGCGGGGCGCCCTCGCAGGTGCCGCTGTTCAACCCCTTCCCCAATCCCTTCGAGCTGAGCAAGCGCATGAAGATGGACGGCGGCGACTGGTGGGGCATGTCGCAGGCCCTCCACCGCAACGAGGCGCTCTTCGAGAACCTCAAGCTGAAGCCGCTCGGCCTGGGCGGGGCCAACTCGCTGATCCAGGGGCCGCTGCTCAAGAAGGAGAGCCGCCAGCGCAACGACACCTGCGAGTTCTGCGGCAAGGTGTTCAAGAACTGCTCCAATCTCACCGTTCACCGGCGCAGCCACACCGGCGAGAAGCCGTACAAGTGCGAGCTGTGCTCCTACGCCTGCGCCCAGAGCTCCAAGCTGACGCGCCACATGAAGACGCACGGGCGGACGGGCAAGGACGTCTACCGCTGCCGCTTCTGCGACATGCCCTTCAGCGTCCCCTCGACGCTCGAGAAGCACATGCGCAAGTGCGTCGTGAACCAGGGCAAGGCGGCCGCAGCCGCCAATGCGGTGGCCGCCGCCCAAGCGGCCCAGGCTGCCGCCCAGCACATCCAGGCCGCCGCCCAGCAGGCGCAGGCGGTCCAGGCGCAGCAGGCGGTACAGCAGCAACAGCAGCAGCAGTCGCAGCAGCAGCAGCTGTCGCCCATGGGCGTGGTGGGGTACCCGCCCCAGTTCGTCGGCGGACACAACCTTTCGCTGCCGGGCAGCGTGAGCGGGGACAACGACTCGAACGCCTCCTCCAGCCTGACCGGCGTCCATCCGATTTCGCTCAAGGAGGAGGCATGACTTTTCAGCGGCTTTCCCGTGCCGCTGGCCCCACCTCCTCCTCCGCCCCTACAGCAGCAGCAGCATCAGCAGTTGCAGCAGCAGCAGCAGTTGCAACAGCAGTCGCAGCAGCAGCAGACCAGTCGCAGTCGCATCATGTCGCGCATCTTCTAAAGGTGTCTGAAAGAAACTGATTCAAATTCGAAACCGAATAGCCAGGCCCCCTGTAAATACGACTTTTTTGAAAAAAGCCCCCATCCAAGCTCCTTCCAGGCGACGAAAAAAAAACACGACCAGAGGCATTTAATACCAAAGCAATAACCGTTATGTAATATAATTTTAAAGATTCAACCCCTTTTTTTTTGAGAGAGAGAGAGAGAAGCGAAAACACACACAACACACATTTTTTTCCAACATTTTTTTTCGTGCTTGTAATTTATATATATATACATACATATATATATTAGTGCATAAACATACGTAAATGTAATAAAATAATCGCTTAGAGAGTAATTGTGTGGACACACATTTCCAGTGTATTTTCTAGGGCTAAGTGAAAGCAAGGATTTGTATAAAACGATGATGGATGATGAAGAAACCTACTACAACTAAACGTGAACGTAAAAGTGAACGTAAAAAAAAAAAAAAAAATACGCAAAAAAATTCTGCTCCCAGCGAGCCACAAAAATAAGCAAAATTATACTCTAAACTTAAACGCATTTCTATATGCAAATATTATCGATATGGGCGCGAGTGAATGAATATTTTTTTCATCGATGTACATTATTTAGTAAATCTAGATCCCTAGCACTAAAGACGAACACTTGTAAAAATCCTAACTCTAATTCTAATTATGATTACCGAATACATATTCATTTCATTCGATTTCCCGTCGATTTATTTCCTCTCCTTCCCTAATTTTTTTTGCCTAGACATAATTCTATTATTAAATGTAATTTAAATGAAAGAAAAAACGAAAAATAATCAAATTTTTTTACGTACATAAATAAATATAAATGTAAAACACAAATTTTTTTTAAACAATTTTAGTCTAAGCTCAAAAGGAAAAGCATGCATAAAATTTGAGGCAGAAGGCAAAGTGAAAAAAAGACGAAGATGCAAATTTGTACGTAAAACTTCAAGTGAAATATAAGAAAGCAATTAACGAGAAAATACCGAAACAACAACAACAAACAAACAAACAAACAAACGACAAAAAACTAGATTTAGAAGACTGAAGAACTGAGAACGAAATTTGTTTTCTTGCTAACAAAAAATCGAAAGGAAAAAAAAAAAGAAAAGACAGAAAGTAAAAGACGAAAGACGAAAGAGAGCTGGAAAACGGACAATGAAAAGGACGAAGGAGGAAAGGACACGATAGAGTGCATTTTTTATAAATTGTTTTTTTGCTGTTGATTTTCGTTATTTGATTGAAACTAAAACAAAAGATTGAGATCCAAAATTTTGATTAATATTTAATTGTTTGTTTTTGTAGTGAAAATACCTTTTTGCGAGCAAAATTCAAAAGCGCGACATTAGTTTAAACCCTGTTTTGTTTCGAGTTCCCCGAAAACCCACCCGGAAATCCCCCTACTAAATTAGTTAATCCCAGTTAATTGAACTAGTTTAGTACGGGTGATTTCCTCCGTTTTTATCGACGAAGTTTACCGTGCATAATTTATGGAATTCGACATGAACTAAATTTAAGATTGAGGTTTTAATGCATTGTGTTTCACATATATAGAACATATATATAAAGCAAAAACTGAATAAACAAAATCCATGAAAATTAAAAAAAAAACACACACGAGTTATGTTTTATTTGGACGATTTTTGGTTGCATTTTACAATACTAATTTCTTCCACAAAAAGCAGAGTAAAAAGCAGAGGCGAACGGAAACCGACACGAAACGAAACGAAGCAAACTAAAACTATCATTACATCTTAGAAAATTAATTGTAGCTATAAAAACAAAAGGAAACTTTATACTAGCAGATAAACCAGGACATTGTCTCATTTGGCCGAGAGCAATAGCAAGGACGGGCGAATTAAAAATGAAAACAAAACGAAAAAAAAAAAAACAAAAACCAAAAATATTTTTCAAATGTGTGTAATTTTTTGAAAGTAACAATAACGAAAATACGAAAGGAAAACAAAAACAACAAATTTAAAAATTAATAATTAAATGATAGTTGTCTGTGTTACGAAAAAGCAAAAATATAAAAATACAATTGAAAAACTGTAACTAAGCGAGCGAGCGAGACTTTTATTTCCCATAAATTATGAACGATTTTTATAGCAATCTGGCACCTACGGCGCAGCCCAAAAGTAGGCAGCTATAAAAATCGGGAGCGATCGCGGAGTGGAAAGTGTTGCCCACATTTTAGGGGTGTCGATAGGTGGCGCCCCCTCACGTTTGCTCTAGCGAAAATAGGGAGAAAACGAGTGCGAGAGAGACGGCAAGCGCAAGTGACCCCATTGGCCGCCCACCGCCCCCCCGCTGCCCCACCCCGCCGTGACCACTCGGCCAGAAAGTGACCAATCCAAGCGCCACTGGCCGCCCCAATTGTCATGTGCGGAAACTTCAATTGGCATCTGGCAGAAAAAGCCAAAGCAACGCAAAGCCAAGCGAGCCGAACCTCACACATGCGACGCCGGCAGCGCAGTTGCCGTCGACTGCGGCAGCGACCCTCAACCCACTACCACCCCCACTCAGCCACCACCCACCACCAACGCCCACTGGCCGGTTCAAACTTGTTCGCCGTCGAACAGGCTCGACGGCGCCAGCTCTCCGGTGGTTGCAAATGGACATAGCACCACCGGTGGGAAAAGTCCTTGCGGAGTGGGAGGAATTTTCACCCAGCAACGCGGGAAAGCTAGCTTTTGTTTGTGTTTTCTATTTAATTTATTTATGTTGATAAAACGTTCACAAAATTATAGAAACCATTGTTTTCTCTTTGACAAAGTCATTTAATGCTTCGATGTTGTTCAGCCTTTATTTATTTTGTTCGTCATATTTGATGACTGCAAGGGTATATAAGCTTCGGTTTCCTTTCTTGTTTTTATAACCTTGCAGAGGGTATTATAATTTCAGTCAGAAGTTTGCAACGCAGTGAAGGAGAAACCTCAGACCCCATATTCTTGATCAGCATCAGGATCAGAATCAAAATACGTCTGTACCTCTGTTATCGGTCAGCCAATCCGACAATTTTTGGGACAAATATATTTAATATTTCTCTTTCAGTTTTAATCGATCAACGAGGGCAGTTGGAGTCCGAAGGGCATGGCAAAGTTTCGTTAACTGTGGTCATAAGGTGCTCAAAACAGTGTTTGGTTCCACTGTAAGTCACTAATTGACCTTATTGCAACCAAAAAACCTCTCAAAATATAGTGTTTTCTACCGGAATTGTCAACAGATCTTTCCCAAATCAGTTTTTATGAACTAACTAAAGGATCAATTACCTATAACAATTAAATTGCATTCGGTGGCATGAATAGTTGGGCTTTTCTAGTTTCCAAAAATATACTTTGTTTTGCTGTAAGTTGTTTCTTGCCCAAATAACAGACAAATTACCAATGGGAAAAGTTTTTTTTTTGCCCAAAACTACAGAAAATGGCTATAAAAAAACTCAGTTTTTTTGGAATATCTGAGAAATTACTTTCCCAAATGTGGAGTGGCATACATCGTTGAATTCGTAATAAAATTCTGAGTTCGATGGTATAACCACCCAAAAAAGTTGAAATTTTGCCATTTTTCGCAAAAAATGACGATGTTACCCCTTATGAAAATTGCGAAAATTGGCCAAAAATCATTTTTTTTTGAATCGTCCAAAAAGTGATTGGGCTCGTTAACTGTGGTCATAAGGTGCTCAAAACAGTGTTTGGTTCCGCTGTAAGTCACTTTTTGGCCCTATTACAACCAAAAAACCACTAAAAAGATAGGATTTTCTACCAAAATTGGCAAAAATCCTATTATCTCAACGGAAGTTTCCTGACCATTCTTTTCCATACTCATCTACCCATCGATCAACGAGCGCAGCTGAAACGACGTTGGGGGATTCATCGAGGAGCAGCAGACAATTATTCGTCTTGGACGAGCAGAGTGATTTATTTATTATTAAGGTTTTATGTTACTTTAGAGATATTCTTTTAAATATAGGATATTTTATTATAGATTTTATGTTATTATTAAATGAAAATGAAATTAAATAAAATGTTTTTTCTTGGTTTGGGGCTATATTGAAAATTATGAGTGGTTTATAGAATATCCTCATAAGGAGTGGCTAAAAAGGAGTTGATGGCTCAAATCCCTAAATTCGATGGAAAAAACGAGTTCGAAAAGTATTACTGACCATTTGGACAGCCAAATTGGCAATTTCTGAAAACAAAGTACCAGGCGAACAGAAGTTTCTAGAAGGTGGAATTTATAAAATTAATTTATAATTTTATCCGAGTTTCAAACCCAATACTATCAGTGATGCTCAACCCACAATCCCAGTATTTTGCGTGGATCGAGCATAGTCAAGTTTTGAACCACGACCCTTAGTACCATCCATAGAGGAAATTGTTGCATATCTTAGGGGGCAGCTGATTTTGGATTTCGGATCTTGTTGCCACCTTCTAGGCATTGCTGTTCGCCTGGTACTTTGTTTTTAGAATTTGCCAATTTGGCTGCCCAAATGAACAAAATTACTCTTCGAACTCGTTGTTTTCTATTGAATTATTGGATTTCAGACACCAAGCGAACATGATCAGTAGAAGGTCGCGTCTGATAAATATTAGTTAAATAAATAAGAAATAGGTCTGTGTCAGGTTTCTGTTTGCTTGATGTCTAAAATTAAAAAAATATCCAATTTATAGTAAATACTCCTCGGAACTTGCTTGTTTTCGACCAAATGCTAAAAATTGCGATACCAGGCAAACATATCTCATTGCAAGTTGCTGCAGGTAAGTTTGCTGGCGTTTCTGTTTGCCAGGTTCCTAAAAAATCCCCCACACGCTCAAATTCATTCAAACAATCAAAAATTTCATAAGTTAGTTTTTATTATCTTCAATAAATAATAATAATAATAATAATAAATAAATAATTCGATTTCTAAATAATATTACCTATTAATAACTTATTGCTGGTTTCTTATGTTTATTATGTTGTTATAGCATATTGTATCGCCGACCTCCTCTTCCAACTGCCCTCGTTGATCGATGTATCCTGAAAGTAGAAATATATATATATGTATTAAATATTTATTATATTTAAGAAGGTCATATCTTAGGGAGCTACTGGTTAGTAGGTATGCCAGCTATAAATATAGTGAACTTTGGTCAATTTTCAGCAAACCCATCATTAGAATTGAAAAAAAATGTTCAAAAAACATAAATGAAGGAATCTATAATATTAATTAAGACAAAAAAGTGAAAACCATAATTCTGTAGTTATCTATTAGGTGGCATGCCTCTGAAAGTAATAATTTTCATTGATTTTATTAAATATAGAGTATAGTGTTTTCTACCGGAATTGTCAACTGATCTTTGCCAAATCAGTTTTTATGAACTAACTAAAGGATCAGTTAAATAACAATTAAATTGCATTCGGTGGCATGAATAGTTGGGCTTTTCTAGTTTCCAAAACTATACTTTGTTTGGCTGTAAGTTGTTTCTTGCCCAAATAACAGACAAATTACCAATGGAAAAAGTTTTTTTTTTGCCCAAAACTACAGAAAATGGCTATAAAAAACTCAGTTTTTTTGCATTATCTAAGGAAGTACTCTTCCAAATGTGGAATGGCATACATCGTTGCATTCGCAATAAAATTTCCTATCCGATGGTATAAACAACCAAAAAAGTTGAAATTTTGCCATTTTTCGCAAAAAATGACGATGTTACCCCTTATGAAAATTGCGAAAATTGGCCAAAAATCATTTTTTTTTGAATCGTCCAAAAAGTGATTGGGCTCGTTAACTGTGGTCATAAGGTGCTCAAAACAGTGTTTGGTTCCGCTGTAAGTCACTTTTTAGCCTTATTACAACCAAAAAACCACTAAAAAGATAGGATTTTCTACCAAAATTGGCGAAAAATCCTATTATCTCAACGGAAGTTTCCTGACCATTCTTTTTCATACTCATCTACCCATCGATCAACGAGCGCAGCTGAAACGACGTTGGGGGGATTCATCGAGGAGCAGCAGACAATTATTCGCCTTGGACGAGCAGAGTGATTTATTTATTATTAAGGTTTTATGTTACTTTAGAGATATTCTTTTAAATATAGGATATTTTATTATAGATTTTATGTTATTATTAAATGAAAATGAAATTAAAGAAAATGTTTTTTCTTGGCTTGGGGCGATATTGAAAATTATGAGTGGTTTATAGAATATCCTCATAAGGAGTGGCTAAAAAGGAGATGATGGCTCAAATCCCTAAATTCAATGGAAAAAACGAGTTCGAAAAGTATTACTGACCATTTGGACAGCCAAAAAGGCAATTTCTGAAAACAAAGTACCAGGCGAACAGAAGTTCCTAGAAGGCGGAATTTATCAAATTAATTTATAATTTTATCCGAGTTTCAAACCCAATACTATCAGTGATGCTCAACCCACAATTCCAGTATTTTGCGTGGATCGAGCATAGTCAAGTTTTGAACCACGATCTTTAATACCATCCACAGATGAGAATTGTTGCATATCTTAAGGGGCTGCTGATTTTGGATTTCGGATTTTGTTGCCACCCTCTAGGCATTGCTGTTCGCCTGGTACTTTGTTTTTAGAATTTGCAAATTTGGCTGCCCAAATGAACAAAATTACTTTTCGAACTCGTTGTTTTCTATTGAATTATTGGATTTCAGACACCAAGCGAACATGATCAGTAGAAGGTCGCGTCTGATAAATATTAGTTAAATAAATAAGAAATACGTCTGTTTCAGGTTTCTGTTCGCCTAATGTCTAAAATTAAAAAATTATCCAATTTATAGTAAATACTCATCCGAACTTGCTTGTTTTCGACCAAATGCAAAAAATTGCGATACCAGGCAAACATATCTCATTGCAAGTTGCTGCAGGTAAATTTGCTGGCGTATCTGTTTGCCATGTTCCTAAAAAATCCCCCACACGCTCAAATTTTACATTCAAACAATTAAAAATTTCATAAGTTAGTTTTTATTATCTTCAATAAATAATAATAAAATAATAATAAATAAATAATTCGATTTCTAAATAATATTACTTATTAATAACTTATTGCTAGTTTCTTATGTTTATTATGTTGTTATAGCATATTGTATCGCCGACCTCCTCTTCCAACTGCCCTCGTTGATCGATGAATCCTGAAAGTAGAAATATATATATTAAATATTTATTATATTTAAGAAGGTCATATCTTAGGGAGCTATTGGTTCGTAGGTATGCCAGCTATAAATATAGTGATCTTTGGTCAATTTTCAGCAAACCCATCATTAAAATTGAAAAAAAATGTTCATAAAACATAAATGAAGAAATCTATAATATTAATTAAGACAAAAAAGTGAAAACCATAATTCTGTAGTTATCTATTAGGTGGCATGCCTCTGAAAGTAATAATTTTCATTGATTTTATTAAATATAGAGTATAGTGTTTTCTACCGGAATTGTCAACTAATCTTTGCCAAATCAGTTTTTATGAACTATGGAACAATGGAAAAAGTTCTTTTTGCCAAAAACTACAAAAAAAAGCTTTAAAAAACTCCGTTTTTTTGGAATATCTGAGAAAGTACTCTCCCAAATGTGGAGTGGCATACATCGTTGAATTCGTAATAAAATTCTGATTTCGATGATATAAACATCCAAAAAAGTTGAAATTTTGAAATTTTTCGTAAAAAATGACGATGTTACCCCTTATGAAAATTGCGAAAATTGGCCAAAAATCATTTTTTTTTGAATCGTCCAAAAAGTGATTGGGCTCGTTAACTGTGGTCATAAGGTGCTCAAAACAGTGTTTGGTTCCGCTGTAAGTCACTTTTTGGCCCTATTACAACCAAAAAACCACTAAAAAGATAGGATTTTCTACCAAAATTGTCAACTGATCTTTCCCAAATCAGTTTTTATGAACTAACTAAAGGATCAGGATTAAATAACAATTAAATTGCATTCGGTGGCATGAATAGTTGAGCTTTTCTAGTTTCCAAAACTATACTTTGTTTTGCTGTAAGTTGTTTCTTGCCCAAATAACAGACAAATTACCAATGGGAAAAGTTTTTTTTTTGCCCAAAACTACAGAAAAATGCTATAAAAAACTCAGTTTTTTTGGAATATCTGAGAAAGTACTTTCCCAAATGTGGAGTGGCATACATCGTTGAATTCGTAATAAAATTCTGATTTCGATGATATAAACATCCAAAAAAGTTGAAATTTTGCCATTTTTCGTAAAAAATGACGATGTTACCCCTTATGAAAAATGCGAAAATTGGCCAAAAATCATTTTTTTTGAATCGTCCAAAAAATAATTGGGATCGCTAACTGTGGTCATAAGGTGCTCAAAACAGTGTTTGTAGCCACCTTCTAGGCATTTCTGTTTGCCTGGTATTTCGTTATCACAAACTGCCAATTTGGATGCCCCATGCCACGTCATTATAAATGAGAAATTTAAATTAAATTCCCCACGCGCCAAACTTTCACAATAAAACAATCAATAATTTCATTAGATAGTTTTTATTATCTTCAACAATTCGGTTTCTAAATAAGTCATAAGTTTCTAATGTTAATTATGTTATTATATATTATTATTGTTATATATTATATAGATAATCTGTAATATTAGTAATATATTTTAAAAGGTCATATCTTAAGTCGGATGCAGACACTTTCTAGACACTTTCATGTTTCATGTACTAAATTGAAAATTCCTTTCCAAATTTCCAAAAAATGGTTTTGCTGAAAAGTGACAAAAATTCATTACATCGTTTCCATAATTTTTTCTATATTTATTCAGATTTCGGAGTGGATTGTAGTTCAATTTTTTAACAAACTACATCATTAGTAAATTTTTAATTTCTTGATCGATTTTTTTTTAACTTTTATGATACAATGGATTTATGGGTTGCTGAAATAAATCAAAATACACAACTTCTAAGTCCATAACTTTTCTAATTTTATTCAGATTTTAAAGTGGCATGCCTCTGAAGGTAATTAATTTCATTGATTGTATTTAATAAATAATTTTATTTAAATTCAAAGGAACAATCGGTGAAAATATGGAAAAATAAGTAGAACATTTTTGATGGCTGCAAGGGTATAAAAGCTTCGGCTTCCCGAAGCTAGCTTTCTTTCTTGTTTTATTATAATATTTATTTGTATTTCTTATATTTCTTGGCGTAGCTCACAAGACCTTTGTTTATTTTTGTTTTCAGTCGGAAACCGATTTTTGTATCCCCGATTGGACCACAGGCCTAAACTTTATACGCCTAATAGTCTCTATTGGACTGCTTTTTGCCGAGCAAGTAGCGTGCCACAGTTGAAGGTGGGCAATTAATAACGGGACCCTGCCGAATGTGTGGACCCCACTTGGTGCGCATTATTCATTCTCCATTTGCATGGTGTCCTGAGTCCTTGGTCCTTGGTTTCGGACCGCCCCGCTTCCCCCCATTCCTTCGGCCCGCCGAAAACTCGAAGTGGATACAAGGACTGCGATTCGGTCTGTGGCTTTACTTTCCGTTGGGTAAGGGAAAGGGAAAGGGGATGGGGAAGGGGAAGGGGAAAGGGATGGGGAAGGGGATCGGGAAAACTTGGGGAAAATAAAGCTGGAAGGATGTGTAGGCGACATTTGTTCGTGCAGCGACTAATTCAAGTATGTGTGTATATTATACATGGCGGGTAGCTCGCATACATGCGTCGCATGCTTTCTCGCTTTCCCTGTCTCTCTCTCACTCTCTCCTTCTCTTTCTGTCGCTCGGCAAGGGTGAAACTTTTACAGTTAGCTGGCAGAGATTCTTTTCTGATGATAAATTAATTTATTATGTTCGAATTGAAGCACTCGCAGCTACCAATGTGAGCGGATGTAGCGTGTATCTGTATCTGTGTCTGTGACCGGAGTCTGCCAGGATGTGCCTACACATATACACAACCCGCTAGCGCGTGTGTGTGTGCATTTCAACCCCATCGAGTGTGCACAATTACAAAAACAACTACAGGAATAATGAACAACACCATCTGACCACTTGAATAATTTCAAAGTGGCGGGCGGAAGGGGCTCTTGCCGGGTGATGTTTTAATTGAAACCCTGGCCGGGAATGGCTGCCACAGCCCACAGCCAGCAGAGCCGCCCGAAACCACCCACAACCACCCGAGCAGGCGGATAACGGTGAGTGCGAAAGGAGTCTGGGCAGCGTTAAGCAAACATGGCGTCGTCCACGGGGGGGCTAAGCAGATCTTTCGAGATCCCAGGACACCACATTCCACCAGAATATATACGTACGTATAATAAAAAAAACACAACTTTACACTTCTTGACGCTTTGTTTTTTATCATTTGGACGGGTCTTCTTTTTTTTCGTTAACAAAACAATAAAAAGGCTCCGTCTCTGTTTCTGGCTTGCCAATGCCAATGGAATGATACCACAAACTTCTCGCACAGACGCGATTCGAGGAGACTTTGGTCAGCGGGCGGGGGGATCGCCGGCGGAATGAGTGGGCAACTGGGTGTCCCACCCGGAAAGCAAAGAAAGTCAAAGAACAAATGTCTACGGCTCCAAAGTCAGAACACATTCATATTCTCTTACTGCTAAAAAAGTGATTGATAAACGGAGTTATACTCTGCACAACCGAATAATTCCCTGTTTAAAGTGTTTTTCAAGCTCATGGCTTTTCCAATTTAGTTTAGGTATATTATTCAATCATCTAAGCATATTTGACTGTCTTATAATCTGCTCAAGATTGGAACTCTTCTAATCCAACCCTGATAAGGTTTGTTAATTAACAATAAATTAATTTGTTAGTACTATTGTTTATTTAAGTGTGTTTAATGCAAGCCAACACACCCAGATTTGCAGGGTATGGGGGCGAACCGTAAAGGATGCACGCGATGTGCCACCACAAGCAAAAGGCAACCGAAAACGGGAGCGAAAACCGAAACTGAATCCGAATCCGAGTCTAAATCTGAAGCGCAGACTACTCTTTCTAGCCATTCCATTCGTTTCGTTTCCGCAGCTCCACTTTACACAGAAACAAAACCAAACGTTTTTTTATTTGCATTTTAGAGATTTTAGAAACCTTAATTAAGTCCAAAAAGAAGAACTACCTTCTTTAAGCAAATCCTAATTGATTATAATCACTCGGTAAATACTGCAATTGGGGAACTTAAATAAAAATTTGGATATTTTTTACTCCAAGTGTAGTGCTTTTGCTCGGGCATTGGGCAATGCAACCGCCGTCCTCTGCACCACCCGCCCCTCATCCAGTGCGGACCCACTCCCCCCGCAGGACACACACATGAGCACATTATGTACCCGTGCACATGCATGTGTGAGTGAGTGTCCTGGCGCTGGATATCGTGCTCTAGAGACCAAATGGAAACTTAAGCCTTTCTTTTGTGCCAGCTAAGGACTCTCATACTGTCCATGAACCTTTGTGGCGTCATAAAGGGAGGCAGCAGCGGGGGGTGGCAAGGGGGGGAGTATGGGAACGAGCGGGAGAGCGGATGGTCGAGGTCCTTTCAATGCATCCTTTTTGGTGCGAGCGAATTTCGTGCGGTGGAAAGTAGCGCTGTGTGTGTGGGTGTGTGGAGTGCAAGTGCACATTGTCTTTGCGTGTGGGTGTGGGCGTGAGTGTGGGTGTGGGGACAAGTGTGAGTGTGAGAGTGTGTGGACACACGGCAGGACACCAGGCACGCTCGCTCGCGCACTCGCTGGTTCGTTAATAAGAGCCCCAAAGCGCAGCGCCGGCGGCATCCACCGATGTCCTGAGGGGGCAGCTCTGGCCCCCGATCTTCGCCCTCCCCGGGGGGTTGCCCCGCCCCTCCCCCTCTGCAGGCTAACTTGCACCACTGTCCACACACACGCAGACTCGCACGCAGAACTGCACGCAGGAAAAAGGATGCAAGCTCGGACTGGAAAACTATTTTTAATTTAATCGCTCTTTTCGGCAGAGGCGTGCAATTGTTTGTGGGGATAACTTTGGAAAAGCTAACAATCATCCATTTTTTTTTTGCATTAAAGTCCCATCACTAAATAATTTTAGGAATAATTTTAAAGAACGTTTGCCTAGTTTTAAGAGCCTATTTTCTTCACGTGTGAAAAAACCAAGAGCTCCAGAGTGAGTACAAAAAAGAGAAATAATGAATAAAGCAATCATTAAGCCACGTGTGTGTGTGTGTGTGTTAAAAAGAGGGGCGAGGGCAGGAAAACCCCCTGGAAAACCTGGCCAGTGGAGAGTGCAACTTTTCCGCTCGCCTCCCGTCGCCGCCCGCTCTATTCTCCTCTTGCATGGCTGACATTCAATGACTTCTCCAACTTTTCACTGGGTTGTTTGCATTCTTTTCCCGCCTCCCCACCTCCCCA